CTTAAAAAGTAAGAAATAACAATAAAGCCATTCCAACTAATGAATGAAAACATTGTAAGGCTTCAAAGCAAGGTAATGGAGAATCATGATTACCATAAAATCTTATGTACCCGTACCATTTCTTGCACTAGGGAGACTATATGGTATTTATACAGATGAGTTTGATTTATTTCGCTTATGAGTGTGGTTTCAAATTGCATCCAGTTATTTATAAATATCTCAATGTGATCACTCTTTATAGCTGAGTAATACTCCATTGTATAAAAATACCACAATTTTTATATTCATTTGTCAGTTGATGGACACTTAGATTGTTTCCAAGATCTGGCTATTACAAATTGTGCTGCTATAAACATGGGTGAACTACATCACTGTGGTATGATGTTTTCAGTTCTTCTGGGAATATGCCCAGAAGTGGAATAGCTGGGTCAAAGGGGACTTCCAATCCCAGCTTTTTGAGGAATCTCCAGACTGACCTCCACAGGGGTTGCACCAGTCTACACTCCCACCAACAGTGCAGTAGAGTTCTTTTTCCCCACACAGCCTCGCCAGCATTTGTTGTTGGTAGTTTTCTTGATCCTGGCCATTCTTTGAGGAGTGAGATGGTATCTCAGTGTGGTTTTAATTGGTATTTCTCTAATGATTGATGATGATGAACATTTTTTCATGTATTTATTTGCCATTTGTGTTTCTTCATCTGAGAACTGTATATTCATCTAGGATGCCCATTTTTGGAATGGGTCTTTGAATTTCAGGAGTCTGATTTTTTTTAATTCTTTATATGTTCTAGACAAAAGGTCCTTTGTCTGAGGGGCAGTTCACTAAGATTTTTTCCAAGTTTGTAGGTTTTCTTTTCACTATGTTGGAGATGTCTTTCGACATGCAGAAACTCTTTAATAAGATGTGATCTGAGTTATTGATTCTGGGAAGTATTTCCTGTGCGGTTTGATTCCTGTTCATGAATTCTCTACCTACCCCTTGTTTTCAAGATTTTTACCTTATTTTTCTTTCAACAGATTTAGTGTTTCTGTTTTAATATTTAGAGCTTTGATGCATTAAACTAGTTTAGCACATAGTTATAGGCATGGGTCTAGTTTTAGTTTTCAGCATATGGAGAGGCAGTTTTTCCAGCACCATTCATTAAAGAGACTGTCATTCTTCCAGTGAACATGTTTGGCCCCTTTATCAAAGATAAGGTGGGTGAGTGTTGGTAGTTGTGGTTGTATCTTCTAATCTATTCGATTGATCTTCGGCTGTGTTTTGATTTCAGTACAATGTTGATTTTATTACAGTAGTTTTCTTTCTTTCTTTTTGCTTTTCTTTTCTTTTTCTTTCTTTCTTTTTTCTTCTTTGAGACAAGGTTTCATTATGCAGTTTAGGCTACCTTGAAGTCACTTCGTAGCCCAAGCTGGCCTTAAACTCATGTTGCTCTTCCTGCATCCGCCTTTCGAGTGCTCAGATTATAGGTATGTGCCACCATGCCCAGCAATGTGCCACTTTTTAAATACCTCACAAGGGGCATTAAATTTCAGTACATGAAGCCTTGGGGGACATACTTAAAACATGTTCAAACCAAAGCACCACTTTAGCTTAGTAGTCAAAATTATCATCTTCATTGCAGGGACAAGCAGATAACATATGTCCATGATGTGATGTGCTGAGAATCACACATTCAGGTAAAATTTTTGTCAAAAATATTCCACCTGAATCTAATCATGAGGGAAAAATTAAACAAATTCAAATTGAAAAATATTCTACAAAACAGGTCAGAACTCTTACAAAAAGCCAATGTTTGGAAAGAACAAAACAAAACAAAAGGCTCAGGAATTGTTCCAAAATAAAAGATGCTAAAGAAGCACAATAATAAATGAAAAAGACCAAAAAAAAAAAAAAAAAAAAAAGAAGCACAATAATCAATGCAATGTGTAATCCTTGATTTGGTCCTGAATCAAAAGATAGTATGAACAATATTATTGAGAGACATGATGAAATTTGAATATGGATTATATATTAAATAGTAATATGAGACCAATGTTAAATTTACTGAATATAGTCTTTGTATTGTAACTATGTAAGATAGTGTCTTTGCTCTTAGGAGATACATGCTGAAGGATATGTTGCTATATCTGCAGTAAATGCTCAGTGGTTTGTAAGGAAAAAAGAAAAGCAAACATATATGTGTGTTAGTATATCTAAACAGATAAAGTAAAAGTGGTGAAGTGCTAACAATAGGTGAACTATGGTAAAGAGTAAACAGGTGTTCAGTATTCTATTCTTGCAGTTTTTCTGTAGGTTTGCTATTTTTCAAAACAAAAATTTAGGCAGAATAAGCAATTAATAGTAATAAGAAACAAAAAGCTTTGTCCCAGACCGTGTTTTCTGTGAAACCTTCCATGACATCCCCTACCATCCCAGTCCCACCAAACACACATATAAAACAATGACTCATCCTTCCTTCTGGACTCTTCCAGTAATCAGTGTCTCTCTAACAAAACTATAAGCTCTCAGAAATCAAGGCCTGTGCTGCATTGGATCTACACCGTATTAAGCCAGTATCCAATATTCTAGGATACTCAGTGGGTCCTCTTTCTAAGTTGATCAAAACTGAGTCTTGAAGCTTGAATAGGACTCAGAAAGACAACAGGAATAGGTTTATTATGGGAGGAATGATGTGGCCTAGGTAAGGAGGCAGGAGTGTACACTTCGTATTTACCAAGAATATTTTATTTGTTTGGTCAGAACTGAGAATTTGTATTAGGTGACAATGTCTAACACACAATAGATTCCTAATAAAAGCCTGATGAATGAATAAATGAGATTTAAAAGGCTGGCTTAGGTCAGGTTGGAAAGGGCCTTGACTGCTGAATTGAAAAATCTAAATATTAGCTAGTTTTTAGCATTAAGGTCTTTTCCCAGTGGTGAAAAGAGAGAATGTTCTTGTGAAAGACCCCTACACATTTTCTGTACTGAATAACAAAAAGAAATGGAAATCAATGGGAAGCTGGAAGTAACCAAACACAGAGGGAAGAAATGTCAAATACTCATCAACCAAGGAAATACTAGATACTGTAATTTTCCTTTTGTTCTTTTGAGACCGTCTCATTCTATAGGCCAAGTTGCAATTTTCCTGCCTCAGCTTCCCAGTGCTTTCCATGATTCTGAATCCCTCTCTTTCACGTACTTTGGAATAGAGAGAGGCTAGAGATTGAACATGGGGTCTCATACAAGCTAGGTACTGGCTCTGCCACTGAGAGACATCACTAACCCTTTTTATTTTTAATTTTGTGACCAGAGTGGTCTTGAACTTCTGCCTCAGACTCCTAAATGCTAGGATTACAGGCAGGAGCTACCACTTGTGATTTTTCATACTGAAATTTCAAGACAACCAACACCCCTCAGACTAAAGAGTATCATAAAATATTGGTTGAAAGAATAAATAGATCAGCTTATTTCATACTGGTTATGCTTGTTTGAGAAGTGTTTGAAATTATTTCGATCACTGTTAATACATTTTTAAAGTTTAAGAATAATGCAGTTATAAAATAACTAGAGTCTAATACTCTTAGAGCCTCCATAGTATAGATTATAATGTTTTTCTTGATGCCACAAACTCATTTATGTATTCATTCATTCACTCATTTGTTTTTGTTTCATACTGGGGATCAAACTTAAGCCCTTTTGTATACTAAATAAGCACTCTACCACTGAGCTATGCATCCAGCCCTGGACTAAATCCTTTTAAATAATTTTAACCAGATTGAGATGTCTCCATTTCTTTAATGTTTGCATTCTGTTTTCTTCCAGATAGGTTCGTAGGACCTGACAATTTTTATGTTTGTTTCATCTCTGTGAAAGAGAGTGAAGGATATGAGTCTCTGGATGTTCTGTGAAACAATTTGTTAGTTCTAGGTTATAGTTCTCTTTAATTTTCACTGAAATGCTACAAAAATCTTTGCTGAGAATAAATTCAAATGTCAGGTCACATTTTAAAAATAAAATTTTAGTTCAATTATGATGCAATATTGACTTGTTCCAAAATGCTTACTACTACTAAGAAAATATCTCTGGTGGTGCTCAAAATGCCTTGTAATTTACAAAGCAAGTGGACTTCCTCCTTTTCCTCATTTTGCTCTGTCTTTATTTTTTACCCCTGGGAGTGAGGATCTACCCCAGTGAAACTTTACCACTGAATTACATCTCTAATTCTTTTTATTTTTTATGTTGAGACAGAGCCTTACTAAGTTACTCAATTTGGCCTCAAATTTGCAAGCCTCCTGCCTCAGCCTCCTGAGTAACTGGGATTGCACAGGAATGCCGTTTGAAGAAAGTAGAAAGGATAATCTGATTTGTTGTTCAGATCATATAGTAGAATCGAGTGATAAATCATTTGGGCAGTATGTATAAATGAATTGTGACACAGCCAAATGAGACAACTGTCAACTACAAGCCAACTTCATGATAGATAAAGGACTATAAATCAGTTACAGTAGTGATGTTCCTTTACAGCTAGTCCTGGTGTGTTTGTAAGCAGGAACATAATTCTGTAGTTACAGTCGACAGAGAATATCACACCAGCTCAGCAAGCTCCATCAAACCTATATCTCAATACAGTTTTATAGATATTAGTATATCACATGAGCCAAATGTTCCCCAATAAAAAGTATGATAATGCTATTTTGTTCTTCAACACTAATGAAACTAAAGTGTTCTTCAACACTAATGAAACAAAAGCATTCATAGGTATTTGTTCACTGTGCTCAAATCGCTGAAGCATAAAACAGATTTGGTGTAACAGAACGCTTTAAAAAGTCAAGAAAGATAAGAATTACGCCTTTTGGGGGAGCGGGTGTTCTGATGTTCTGGCCCAGGGCGTGTCCTCCCAGCAGAGCTAGTTACCACTGTTATGGAAACCAGAGTTCTAGGTCCTTGGGGATTGTGACATCAGAGGTGAGGCAGTAGAGAGACGACAGTGACCAATGTCCAGTCCTCTTTCCCGCTAGACCTCTGCAGGACGCTTCACAGCGTGGTTGCTTTCCTGAAGTGGCTAGCAAGGGCAGTCCCCTGAAGTGGGCACCAAGAGACTGCAGCCCTGCTGGCCTGCTGCCCTGATGACAACATCTCCACATCTTCTTCCACCTCAGGCTGTCGGGCAGCCGATCATCTACGACCTTTCCAAAATAACTGGCAGCCTTTACATTAGTAACAGTGTGGCTGCAAATAACAAATTTATGTTATCCTGCTATAACATCACCACAGTCATAAATGCTTCGGTGGAGGTGGTGAACACATTCTTCGAGGACATTCAATATTTACAGGTGCCGGTGGCCGATACTCCTACCTCGTACATCTATGATTTTTTTGACCCCATTGCTGATCACATCCACAGCGTGGAAATGAAACAGGGCCGTACGCTACTGCATTGTGCCGCGGGAATAAGCCGCTCGCCTGCGCTCTGTCTTGCATACCTGATGAAATATCGCTCTATGACTCTGCAAGACGCCCACACTTGGACCAAGTCCTGCCGTCCCATCATCCGGCCCAACAACGGATTTTGGGAACAACTTATTCATTATGAATTCAAGCTGTTCAGTAAGAATACTGTATGTATGATCAATTCCCCAGTGGGTAGGATCCCCGATATGTATGAAAATGAAGTCAATTCGATGATGTCCATGTGAGCCATTCTAGCCAGCCTTGGCATCTGCAGCAGCTCTTATAGCAAGATGGAACTTGAACTTGAATTAGTAAATAAAATCAGAGGAGGCTTCTTAGATGGGCAAGGATAGGGGACCAGAGCTGGAGTTTTAATGTACTTCTTAGCTTCAACAATAAAATTCATTAAATGAAAATGGTGAAATGTTTTTCGTTTATAAAGGGCTAGTCTTGTTGTTAAGATGAGGGGACAGGAGGGTAGAGCAAGCAATGTCCAGCTTAGATGGACCTGCCAGTAGCATGATATGCTTTTGGAAGACCTGGAATCCTGAGTTTGGCTTCAGGCTGACTAACCCAGAAATGAAGCCCACACTCACGCTAACCCAAATCAAAGCTTTAGGCAACATGGCATTCCTTGTACTTCTCCCAGCAAGTGCTGATGTGCTGGGAAAATGGCCTTTAGGACTTAAAGCTGGGCTCCAGGAGCCTCAGTCCATCCCTGTCCCCACCTTCAGTCACAGTGACCCAACTCTGGTTTTCTGGATTTATACATTGGTTTTCACAGAAACCATCCCACTCTATAAATTTTTTAAATTTTTTTAAACTTTTGTACCAAACAGCAAGGTCTCAAGATATCCTCAGTGATTCCTCCACTATCCTTTGTGGAACAAGTCATAGTGCTTTTTCCAGGGTATATGCTGGCAGAGAACAGACCTGACCTGATGCTAAGCCTTGGGAACTCCTCTCATGGGCCTTGGCTTGAAAAGCTGGAGCTGCTGGCCATGACTGAGCCTTGTCACCTCTGATACTTCTTCCCACTGTGAGCTGGGGCTTCTCAGAGCCTCAGTTTCCTGTCAAAACAACCACAGCCCTTCTCTCCCAGAGCTGTTGTGAGGGCTGTTTCCTTTGCAGGTTACCTGTTAATTGAAGGGTTTCACGCTCAGAGTAAACGGCAATGATAACTTTTTGGCCCGACAGGTTGAAGGAGGTCAGCACCCTTATCCTCCTAAAAGCATTTCTCCTCTGTGTGCGTAGCCCTTTCTTATTTCTAAATGCTTTTCCAAAATATCAGCCTATGTGTAAAAACAAATAGTTTAAGGTCTTTCAGACCTAATCTCAGAGGAAACCTATATTTAGAGCCTATTCAGATGTGTATTTAATCTACACACCTATACACATACACGCACATACACACACACACACCTTGTTTAGAATCACTGACCACTAGCACTAGCACCACTAACTACTGGGATCCAGGAGAAACTTGTCAAAGGGATGAATGGATGAATCAAGTGTGACTTGGAACCCAGAATTGTTCAGACTCCCCAGATACCTGACTGTGGTTTGGATCCAGCTAGTCAAATCCAGAGATTTTTAGATAAAAATAGATGAGACAAGAACAGACGTGATGGCACCTGCCTATAATCATCTTGGTTGGGAGGCTGAGGCAGGAGGATTACTATGAGTTTGAGGCTAGCCTGGACAACATAGTGAGCTCAAATCCATCCTCAACTACATAGCAAGACCTCATCTTAAACAAAACAAAACAAAACAAAACAAAACAAAACAAAAACAGATGAGACAAAAGCATAACTGTGGGCTGGAGGTGTTGCTTGGTAGGGGAGCACTTGTTTAACATTCATAAAACCCTGGATTCCACCCTCAGATCTGGGGGGAGGGGGGCGGTGTTGTTGCTCAGGGTAAAGCAAATGCTAAAGCAAACCTATGGGGCAGAGCCCAGTGAAGCCCAAAAATCTTTTCTCTCTAAACCCATGCTCACCCCACTATCACCTCTAGAAAGGCAGTTGGTAGGGTGGGAGGGATGAAAATCATTGCTCTATACCAATGATGGCAAACCTTTCAGAGACCAAGTGCTCAAACTGCAACCCAAAAGCCATTTACTTATTGCAAACTGCTAACAATACAAATAAACCTAAATTCTAAGGTTTTAGTTTAGAAAAACGACTTACCTGATGATTCTTGGCTGCTGGGGTCACTGAGCTCAAGTGCTGGCAGAGAAGGCTCTGTGACTGCTGCAGCTCGCATACCACAGGTTTGTCAGCACTGCCTTAGACAGACCCTCTCCTTTTATACAGGGATAAACAGATACACAGCACACAAGAGTTGATATGGCAGAGCCCCCACAAAATACCTGAGGGTACTCAACAGCCCATTTCCAGTTAGCTCAGTGTCTTCTTTCCACGTACTTTCACCATTTCCCTACTGAGACATAGGAAAGTGAGAAGGTGACTACCGGAGGTTCTGGACTCATCCGAAAGACAGTGTCAGGGAGAAATAAGAGTGGAAGCCGGGCATGCTGAAGCACGCTTGTAATCCCAGGATTGAGGAGACTGAGGCAGGAGATTGTCACGCATTTGAGGCCACCCTCAGCTACATAGCCAGTTCAAGGCCAGCCTGAACTACATAGTGAGATCGTGTCTCAAAAATAAATAAATAAATAATTTACAAATAAGTGCATAGGCACTGTTCCACTTTAAAATAAATACAATAATGAAATACATGCAGTACTTAACACTGATTGGCTCCTGTTTGGGAAAGATAAATAGCTATAAATGACGTTTAGGTCATAACAGACATTTTAACTATGTACTGCATATTAGGGAATTGCTATCAATTAATTGGTTTAGACCTGATCGTGATATTGTGAATATGTAGAATATTCCTACTTGATGTATTTTGAAATATTCAAAATATCGTGGTATCTGTAATTCGCTTTCAAATGGATAAGAAAAAAGAGATACTGAGAGAAAGAAAACAAGACAAAAGACAGCTATTGGCTCATTTAAAGGAGCAAATAGTGCTCATGGTACTATTCTTTCAATTCTCTGATATTTGAAAAAAATCTAAGAGAAAGGTTTTTGCTTGTTTTTTTCTTGAGATAGTATCTCACCATGTAGCCCAGGCTTGGTCTGTAACTCAAGATCCTCTTGCCTCAGTCTCCCAAGGACCGAGACTACAGTTGTGCACCACCTTATCCTGCTGGGGTATATATATGTATGTGTAGGGTGGTTAGAAGTAAGAAAAGCATAAATGAGAAGAAAATAACACCTAACAGTTTTATAATTATATAGTGGATAAAACATTTAATGTACTATTAAAAAGCAAACAACCATTCCATTACAGACTCATAGATTTAGCTACATAACATTTAAGCTTTTTAATTGCAAATAAGAAACATAAACAAATGGCTGATAAATTGGGAAAATATAGGCAATATATTTGACAAGAAAAGTTGCATATTCTTATTTCATAATTCAGTTATTACAATTGAAAAGAAGACAATAATGAGAGAGAAGGCAATGAAAAAGTGAATTTTATGGCATTCTTGTGGTGCTTGAGCCAGACTCCTTGCTAGCTCCCCTCCATCTGGAAAGATATTCATTTACCAACACTTTCTGCACTGCGACTCATAAGTGTGTTGGAATCTGAACTTGGATTTAGCCTCTCTCTTGAACAGTCTCTATTGTGAAGGAATAAAGTAAGCATGGGTCTTGATCTCTGATCAATTTGCTTGAATTCTGTTGGCTCCAGTTTCAGGCAGGACTGGGGACAGAGTTTGCATTCATTTCTTGCTTTATTGCACAGTAGTCAAAGAATGTGACCTGCATAGTTTTTGCTTTACAGAACTGAGATTGCCTTCTCGATTATCTCCTGAGCAGTGAAACAGATGTATTATCTATTGCTAGCATTCTAGTATATGTGAGGATTTATTTATTTATTTATAATAGTTCACAATTGCAGTATACAGTGATTACATTCATTGTAGAGAGTTGATAATGCACGTATCTTAACTTTTTTACATTCTCTCCTCCCTTCATATATATGTGAGTTTTATAGTATTTTATCATTTAAACAATTCTAACATTTCATTAGGAATGACCCAACATGCAAAGGGCTCACAGGGATATAGAGAGTGAAAAACTTCCTTACCTCTATTCTCTAGCCAACAGGTTCTCCTCCCCAAAAGCATCCAATATCAATTTTTTCTGTATCCTTCAAGATATTTTATGCATATACAAAGAATTATATATGTACATATATATTTTCACTTTTCAACAATGTTCTAACAGTCACACATCATTCTCTACTTTGTTTTTTCTTTGTTTAATATATGTTAGGGATCATATAAATAAAGCCAGTAAATGAGACCACCCTATTTTCTCTATAATAGCATGATATTCTTTGCATGGAAGCATCATGATTCATTTAACCTATTCTTTACTGATGGACATTTAGGTTGTTGGTGAAATTTTGTTACTACAAATATTATTGTGATAAACAAAATTGTAGTTAAGTTTAAGTACAAAAATTATTTTATATATGTGGAAACTTATCCATTGGATATTACTAGAAATAGAGATAGCAGGTCTAATCTCATAATTTTGTTGGTCTTTTTGAGACAGGGTCTCACTATGCAGTTCAGGCTGGCCTTGAACTCACTTTGTAGTCCAGGCTGGTCTCAAACTTACAGCAATCCTCCTACCTCAGCCTCCTGAGTGCTGGGATTATAGGTGTATTTTACCATGCCCAACCTCATAATTTTACATTCTGACAACATCCCCGATTAATTGTTGTGAGTGTTATCAAGACGTACTACCAAGGGCTGGGGTTTAGTTCAGCAGCATAAGCACCTGCCTAGAAAGCACAAGTTTGATCCCCAGTTCTGTAAAAACAAAAAAAGAATTTCAGCAAGACCTACTACCAATATGTGAAAGTTCCTGTTTCCTCACAGATACAACAGCCCAGCAAAATATCATGCTTTTGTATCTCTGTCATTTTGACTGGTGAAGTGTGATATCTCCATTGACTTTTAATTTGTATATCTTTTATTATGAAGATTCTAGAATCTTTCCATTCTTTCTATGGACTGGCTACTCATATCAATATTATATTAGGATACATTAGTGTTTTCTGTTGATTCTCAAGAATTCTGTTAGAGAAATGAATTTACCTGTGATGAGAATTTCAGACCCTTTTCTACTGTGTTTCATAAGTGTGATAAGTGGGTTTTCATACCACTATGTGAGATATACCTCCTTCAGATCTTGTTATGATGTTAGAACATTACCTCTCTGACATGACATTTTTTTCAAATATTTTCCTCTTCA